TTTCTACGCACCCAGTATGACAAAGCCCAACGCATTGAGAAGGGGCGCAAGGGGTCCTCTTTCAAGTTACACTTTTTTGCAAACAGCATACCTGGCAGTCCGGAGTTCGTCCCATAGCAGATGGTATCCACATCGCTTGGACGAGAAGGCGGCTCGAGGAGGCATCGGGGAACGTGGACTGCGTCGGTTTTGAGACCGTCGCCTACACTAGCATTTGACGCCTTCCTGCCTCCGTCGCCGGCGCCGTTTGCAGCCGTTACGGAGCCGGTCCCACCCCGGGAACGGGAACACGTCCTTGGCCGGCAAAACTTCGGGCAAGGGTATGGTCCGTGCTTGCTGAGTCATCAATTGCAGTTGTGCGAAAGGCAAGGTTTTGCGACGGACGTAGCAAACCGCCACCTAGGCTTGCTGGGATACTTCTCCCAGATCCCCCGGCCCGGCTCGCAAATTCCTCGGGCGGACGTCCTCCCGGTTCTAGCTTTCTTTGCGTACGCCATATGTGGCTTTGATCGAAACCATGACTTCAGACCAAATGATGGCGTTGTGAGCACCGCATCAATGGATGGTCCAGACGGAGGTCGTATCTCCCATGCCAGGGGAAGGTTCGCAGCCCGGCTCCATCGAAATGGACCGGCCAACGTGAAGGGAATATACTGGAACTTTGGATCCAATTCCAACGATAGACCATGCCGACCAAATCGGCACACCGAAAGACGCCGCCTATGCGGGAGCTCTCAATGGTGAAGTTGGAATCGAGTTGGAGTTGAGTCAGGCTGGGCTGCATGGAGAGGAGCAGGGCAACCAGGGCATCGCATGCGCCGGCCTGCAACTCCTAAATCCACTGGTCGGCTTCCGAGACGCCGGTGGCTCTGATGTGAGCGGCCGCTAGGGCTGCGGGGAGAGCGGACACGGGCAAAGGCGGCGGCTCGATGGCGCCAAGGTCGACGTTGGCGGCGAAGCCGGTGCCAAGCAGTTCCAGGCGGCGTACATGACTCGCGAGCTCGCGTCTCTCGAGGAGGGACCGCAACAGCAGCGCCAGCGGCGGCGCCTGGTCGCGAGACCATGTCAGGACGATTCCAGCGTACAGACACGGCTCAGCGAGGCGTCGAAAGCCCCTGCTGACAAGGCTCAGACTGCCGAGGTCGTGACATGACAGGTGCTTCAAAACGGATAATTGCACCTCACCAGGCCAGTCCATCAACGACATGGACGCCATGTTGTAAATTGTTGTTTGTATTGTATGATTTGTTCCGAGAGCACCGGGCGGCCTATTGACAGCATTAACGATGGGTCTAAGTTCAGGTGCGAGGACAAGGCCGACGGGACATGGGCGGCCGTGAGTACCTACCTACCTTATTAAGCGAGCGAGCTGATGCCGTATTTGAATAGTATAATTTGTTGTATTTAAACCCAATAGGTACGCGATTGCTAATCTTGCGATACCGTACGGAGTAGAAGAGTAGCCAGGTCGTCCAATCGATCGCCACGCCATGCTCGGTTGTTTTGGTAGGAAAACTACGGTAGCGTAAAGCGACTGTGTTACTTCCATAAATCAACCATTATTATCACTCACAAAGTGTGTTATCGCTGACACTAAAAGACCACAGGAAATGCACTACAAAAAAGGTGCAACGGGCGGTCATCTTCAACTCAATTTCTACAGGCCAGGTCAGGCACCCACCGGCCACCAGGAGCGAGATTTAGGCAGGTATTACTATTCAGCTCACAATCATAAAAGTTTTGCAGGGCAGAGATGCTGCCATTCTAGATCGCCCGGTTTCCACATATTTCGCCAATAGAGCCATTCAAGGGCGCTTCTTTACTATAACTGTAACGTATCCCTATATAAGGACCTACGGGCCTGTACTATAATAGTTGTAAGTTGCTGCTTGTTAGCCTTTAGAAAAACGATCGTATTCGAGTTTTATTATGTTTTTAAGCGCTTCAGCCATTGCCAGCTATTCTGAGCGGTCAAAAGGTAGGTCAGGTAGATCTGGAAGAGTGATGTGTGGGTGCAGTTTGACTGGGGTTAGGTTTATGTATAGTCGGATCAATTAATTGCAATTAATTGAACAATTCAACTTTCAATTCAAATATCCACTAGCCAGTCAATTCAACTTCAAATATAGGCCTTCCAATTCAATTGATTGATTGCGCCCTCCCTTGTTGCAAGGCAGTGAGCAGTCGTAGTCGCAGCCCCAATTGCAGGAGTTCTGGGTCGCAAAGCCTTTTTATATACCATAGCGCGCCACCCGGGTTTTGCAAAATGCTTACCGACTCCAACTCCAACAGTCTGGTGACTCTGGTCCACTCGAACCTTCAACCTTGTCATTTCAACCTCGACCTCAGCTCCTCCACCACACTCCATTCATCCTCAGAATCGCCCACCATCATGGCAACTTGAAAATCGGGCATGCGGTCCCATATTGAATTCCCTCCAGGTCGCAGCACATACCGGATACTTTCCCACACAATCCAAGATGACACAATCCCAAGACTCATTTAGTTGCCTCCCGGTAGAGCTTATTCTCTTGATTTTGCAGCACCTGACCACCCGCGCCGATGTCGTTTCCGCTCTGAACGTATGCCAGGTCTGGCGCCGCATCCTTCTCTCTCCCGAAATATGGCCCCTCCTCGCGAACAACATCGACCCCGGGCTTGCTGCCCATATGCGCGACTGCTCCCCAGAACCAGAGCGTCAGCCAGAAGCATTCCACTCCGCCCTGCGCCAGGCGCATGTGCGAAGCGCGGGCTGCTTCAGAGACGTAACTCACCATCCCCTCCGCCTCAACCTGGATGATGCAGACAACAGTGACAGCTTCTTCACCTTGTCCAAACAGGTTCCTATCGAACATGGCGGCGTGCATGCCCTTGATAGTGTTGTTGGTCTGGACTACAAGGCTGTCGATGACCATGTCTCCCGCGTCAGGCTGTATAGTCATGGCCGCGTTGCTTGGTGGCCTGAGAGCTGGCATCTCCCTTACTTTGCTATTGTGGATGATTTGCGTGCGCGGACGCGCCGCATGTACGTGGTTCCGGGCCTGAACCGTGAGAGGAGAGGCCAGCCGCGATTACAAGGGTGGAAAACGGCGTTGGGGGAGCGGTTGTTTGTGATGGGCCAAGAAGATGTTGGTGTCTGTGTCTGGCATCTTGAGAAGAATGAGCTGAGGCAGATCAAGTTGTTTAGTGCCTTTGAGCGGTGCGTCGTGCAAGGGGAGACGCTGCTGTTCGTGGGCCGGAGGTTCGCCGATGTTTGGAGGTGGAAATGGGACACCAATTCGCTGAGCATCGTCGACGCCGCGGGCCAAGGATGCTATCGCCGCGGTCCGGTTACCATGGCCCCTCAGGTTTCGATCAATTCACCCCCAGTCTTGCCTCTGCGGGAAGGTCTACGCTTCCTCGACAATGACACCAGACTCGACTTCATCCTGCATCCGACACGCCAGGACGTCGTGTTTGTGGTGACGTACACCGAGCGGGACGAATTTCGGCCAGAGCTCGTGGTCTACGAGCTCACGTCTGGCAAGCTCACGTCGCGCATCGTGCCCCCGGAAAACCACATGGCGTCTCGCATCCTACGGGAACTCGGGCACCCCGGGGCGCGCCAGCGGATTTCGATGTTACTCCGTCACGAGCGTTGCGACGCCCATGGCGGCTACAACCTCGTGACTGCCTTTGGTTTCAGCGATGTCTGCGCGGATTTCACTGCTCCATTAGGCAGCTTTGGATCCGTGTGCTTCAACGTCTACACGAAGCAGTTCACGGCTATTGTACATCACGCCAGCTCTGCCTACGCGTTGAGTCGGCAGCTGCATCTCTGGAACGGGCAGCTTGCCCTCATCCATGACACCCAACTCGATCCTTCGCCGCGTAAGATGGGCCAGATTATCGTCGTCTTGGATCCGTGCGACGGTCACCTCGACCACGACTTGATACTGAAAGTAAGCGATCCTTTGCCGGTTCGTACGAGACAGCCAGATTCGACAACAAGGTCGGCAGTTGCTCGTTCCGTGATCTACCGCATGCGTAACCCGGAGTGGTTGGAGCGCGATTGGTTTCTCTACCGCGTTGCCTATGCGCTGGCTGAACCGCTGGATCCGGGACCAGTGGTTGAGGATTCAGCTGATGAGTGGCTTGCCGGGGACGACCAAAGCTTCATACATGTGATCAGGAAGGGGTATACTGTATGGAGATTCGATGAAGACGATCCCCTGAGAATGGAAATAGGGAAGAGACAGAGAAGGGGGTGGAGGATGCGGTGGATGAAAGCTCTGCGGACAAGCGCGAGACGTCCCAAACCTGCTGAACCCCAGTAGACATTGTCTTCATCCAGGTCGGTAAACATCAAACCTCGATCAAATCTCCAGGCTAACAAGCGCGTATAGAAGCATGCGACAATCCAGAGAGCTATCATTATCACCTAAATAGATGCCTGGACCAGCCGGGTGAACCAACCGTGGTAAATTGTACATACATGTATGCAGCTTGACACTTTCCCGACACAGGTAATGTCCTCTACTCTTTCCAGGGTTCATGTTGCGCCTGACGTTTCTGCTTCTTGTACTGCATACATTTTATGAGGCACCCTACCACGGCAGCAACCGCGCTGACGACACCAGCAGAAATGCCAATTATTGCCCCGAGGCTCAGCCCGGAATCGGATGCCCGGGCGCTGTCACCGGCGGTTTGGTTCGAGTTCGGGGCGCCGGTATTGACTACTGAGCCCGAGGAGCCTGCCCGTGTTGTTGTCGCTGCGATTCCTCGGGTATGTTAGCGAAACCAACAAGCAGGGAAGAGGACTGGTCGAGTCGCTTACCCAAGTTACCACCAGTGGTTGGCTGGGCCGCAACGGACACTGGTGCAGCCGCGGTATACCCAGCGCTCGAGCAGTAGTCCTTGTAGACCTGAGTCGCGCTCGAAATATCCAACTGGTTCTGGGTACAAGAGGTGTACACGCAAGTCGACAGATGTCGAACGGCGATCTCTTGCAAATCCGGCCGGCAGAAGCAGTCGTTGTCCGAGGGTTGGTATCCTAATCCTGGCTTGTCGCATTCTAACTTGCTCTCGAGCATGGAACCATCGTGACTGCCGCCGTTGTAGCAACCACGGGCGCAGCTACGCAGACCGTTAAAGCCGTCTGAGGAGCCTAAGGATTGTACTCCGTCCGCAGCGGCAAAGGAGAGGAGAACGAGGAAGACGAAGGAGAAGATGATGTGCCAGTGGTATGCCATCTTGACGATCTCAAACTTTGCACGCCCTGCAAAAGAGAAAAGAAAGAAGGCTGAATAGTACCCTTACAAAGACTTGAGATTTCCAAGGATTTCACACGGGTCACGGTGGCATGCTCGTTACTTTATGGTCGTCAGGACTCGGGAGTCCCTTACACCCACTGATACCACATCGAGCATCTAGCTGAGCGCTAATATCCGAAATAGAAACCCCAGCCAAATGCTATGCTCTGCAGCTTTGAAACAGGAGGCATCCTACTGCTCTACCATTCTTGAAAATAGATTCGCGGTTAGACTCAGCGCTGCCAGGAAGGGAAGGCTAGGCAGGATCACCAGCTGAGGCTTCAGCCAGTAACTGTGTGAATCGATTTTGGTGTCGTGCAGCTAAGCGCCTGAGGCGTTCAATATTACTATGAGCCACTACCCTTGTTAATATTCCTTGAGCACGTTGTATGTTATGATGGAAGTTGTCTTTGACACCAATGGTTTAAGATTTGGATTCCATGATCCGCACTCCCTAAGCGCACACGACTCGACGGCTTGCAGGCAGAGCACTGAGGGTGGTACCCTTGAAGCAGCAAGGGGGGTGGGTGAGGACAGCCTGGATGGATGCATGGCCTTGGAACATATTAGTCTTGAATCTGCAGCCAAGCCCCGAAAGTTGGTCACCAGTCTGTCTCGGTGCCTACAACCGCAGGTGTCCATCGATCAGCAACGGCAAATAAGTAGTAGATTGCGGTCGTAGCATACCAAGTACCGACTAGGGGCTGGAGGAAGGACTTGGCAGCTTCCCAGGGCCGGGCCGCACCGCCACGATCAGACAGGGCTCTAGGGCCAAGGGTTTTTACGTTTACATAGTCTCAGTCTTGTTCTAAAGTGTTTGTTTCTGCTTGGAGCTGATAAGTATGGGTCCGTCACCCGGCGGTTGGCGTTCACATGTGTACGTCATGTGGTTTGCTTGTTGGTGATATTCAGGGGCCAACCTGAACCAACTATGAGTCAACTTGAATGCCCGGGCATCATACGACCTGAGGAGTGCCAGATTTCGGCTCGTTGGCTGCATGTGGTCAATGCTCTTCTGAGAAAGCTGGGATTTACCGTCAATAAAGTATCATCTCCACGTGTTCTGCCAGTAAAAGCGGGCCAGGTGAACATGACTCGGAAGGAACGTGGTCTGTGTGACTGAGGTGGAAATGTAAGGTAATGTTGTTGGCCGCCGGGCGAACAAAGGCCTTCCAAAACTCTGCGAGTATATGTTGGCTGCGAATTCCCCTCCAAACCCTCGCTCAAAACTGCCCCTTACCGTAAGGCGACCATAGCTGGGACTTAGGAGCCAATGACCGCTCATCCTTTGCGCGAATATGTCCCAGCTTATATAAATAAGCAACTTAGAGCCTGTAAGCTGTATAGTGATGGTCCATTTCCGGCTTAAGGGCCCTAAGCGACTTAACTCGCGGGCGGCGCCTGCCTCTGAACAGAACACCAACCGCTCCTGCCTCTATACCGGTACCCTACTGCTTAAGGAAAGAGCAGATCAACAAAATGAGCTGCTCATCTTCAATAAGCTAGACTTATCTCAGTACTCAGACCAGTCTTGTAGCAGGGGCCCTGCGGGCCATTTTTGGAATAGTTGCCTACAGTAGATTGGAGCTAAGGCTTCGACCAAGAAAATTTCCATTCCACAATCTGCCTCACTCCACCACCTCCCGCCCAGACTAGTCTAAGAGCATTT